GCCACACTCAGCAATGTTCCAGCTATATGATAGCGGCCCATGTTTGTTGTTTAACACCACACTCAGCAATATTCCAACTATATGACAGCGGCCCCATGTTTGTTGTTTAACGCCACACTCAGCAATATTCCAACTATATGACAGCGGCCCATGTTTGTTGTTTAACACCACACTCAGCAATATTCCAACTATATGACAGCGGCCCATGTTTGTTGTTTAACGCCACACTCAGCAATATTCCAACTATATGACGGAAGCGGCCCTTGTTTGTTGTTTAACGCCACACTCAGCAATGTTCCAACTATATGACAGCGGCCCTTGTTTGTTGTTTAACGCCACACTCAGCAATATTCCAACTATATGACAGCGGCCCATGTTTGTTGTTTAACGCCACACTCAGCAATGTTCCAACTATATGACAGCGGCCCATGTTTGTTGTTTAACACCACACTCAGCAATATTCCAACCATATGACAGCGGCCAATGTTTGTTGTTTAACGCCACACTCAGCAATATTCCAACTATATGACAGCGGCCCATGTTTGTTGTTTAACGCCACACTCAGCAATGTTCCAACTATATGACAGCGGCCCCTGTTTGTTGTTTAACGCCACACTCAGCAATATTCCAATTATATGACAGCGGCCCTTGTTTGTTGTTTTAACACCACACTCAGCAATATTCCAACTATATGACAGCGGCCCCTTGTTTGTTGTTTAACACCACACTCAGCAATGTTCCAACTATATGACAGCGGCCCTGTTTGTTGTTTAACGCCACACTCAAGCAATATTCCAGCTATATGACAGCGGCCCATGTTTGTTGTTTAACACCACACTCAGCAATATTCCAACTATATGACAGCGGCCCTTGTTTGTTGTTTAACGCCACACTCAGCAATGTTCCAACTATATGACAGCGGCCCCTGTTTGTTGTTTAACGCCACACTCAGCAATATTCCAACTATATGACAGCGGCCCATGTTTGTTGTTTAACACCACACTCAGCAATATTCCAACTATATGACAGCGGCCCTTGTTTGTTGTTTAACACCACACTCAGCAATATTCCAACTATATGACAGCGGCCCATGTTTGTTGTTTAACGCCACACTCAGCAATATTCCAACTATATGACAGCGGCCCATGTTTGTTGTTTAACGCCACACTCAGCAATGTTCCAACTATATGACAGCGGCCCTTTGTTTGTTGTTTAACACCACACTCAGCAATATTCCAACTATATGACGGCGGCCCATGTTTGTTGTTTAACGCCACACTCAGCAATATTCCAACTATATGACAGCGGCCCTTGTTTGTTGTTTAACGCCACGCACTCAGCAATATTCCAACTATATGACAGCGGCCCTTGTTTGTTGTTTAACGCCACACTCAGCAATATTCCAACTATATGACAGCGGCCCATGTTTGTTGTTTAACGCCACACTCAGCAATATTCCAACTATATGACAGCGGCCCTTGTTTGTTGTTTAACGCCACACTCAGCAATGTTCTAGCTATATGATAGGGGATGTCCACGGCCCATTCCCAAGATTCGGGCGTTGATGAATGCTTGTGGATTAGGGAAGATTCAAGTTCTCGGGAAAACGCATCTTTCTTTGTCATATAGGATCGACAAGTGGGACACCTTTACCTAACAGTTGGACTGAAGAACAATGACCTCGACAACGTGGACCGTGATAGATCTGGCTGTCACTTGATTTACGGAAGAAGAAAAATACAACTCTTAAGGTCGGTGATGGGAATGACAAAATCTCACGAAATAGATTTGTAGAACCCTGTTACTTCACGAAACAAACAGTTGTTTGAGTGAAATAGAAAAGAACTAGTTGTTTTCTGGTATGGAAAGACAGCGTGACAGCGTGTAAACCACGTGTTGATCAGCACAGAAGCCGGCCAGCTGACTCGAGGGCGGGAAGAAAGCAACTTTTCTAATAGAAAACTTTGAAATGATCGGTTCCTGAGTCTAAATTGTTTTTTTAAGACTTAGAGTCTTCAGGGGCGGATACAGCTTTTTTCAGAAAGTGTGTGTGTGTGTGTGTGTGTGTGTGTGTGTGTGTGTGTGTGTGCACACTATTGAGAAAAGGAGGGGTGCACACTTCATTTTCACCAGAGTTTCAGTGGTCATTTAATAAACTTTCAGGACAAAAGGGGGCTGCGCACCCCCCTGCACCCCACCTCTGGGTCCGCCTATGGTCTTTGATAAACAGTTGCTAACAAACCCGCGGCGCGCGAGAATGCAATCGTGCCAGGCCAAGTCAAAGGGAAATAACTCGCTGTTTTCGCGCTTCGTGTTGTCCCTAGCAGTCACGCCAGCTCTGCGGTTCGACTCCATGGCGTGAATATTTCCACACCATCTAATAAATAACATTCTGGAAGTTTTTTATAAGGTTATAACATTTTTATAAGGTTTCACAATAGTTTTCTAAAATATTTTCGTCAAAACGTTTTCGTAACGTTATAAAAATGCTTCACAACTGTTCAAAATGTTCAAAATGCCCCTCAAAGAAATTTAATAAACATTTCAATGTTTATTAAATTTCTTTGAAAACGACCTAGAATCAGATAAGGACAAACTTTATGGATGAACAACTTCTTTGTTCAGGTGATGCGACGTTTCGATACAGATTCTTGTATCGTTGTCAAGCAGGTGCCTGTGAAGCGGCTGTGCTGTGTGTTATGGAAGGACACCAGGTACTAGAACATGGAGGACAGGTTGTTTTGAACAATGTTTTTAAAACGTTGCATAAATGTTATGCAAGAACATGTTTAATGAAATACTGTCACCATGTTTTAAAAACTTTGTGGACACTACTTTAAATGTTATTCAAGTATTTTCAAAATGTTAATAAACACATCATGCCATAACATGGGTGAAACATCAACATCGTGGATATTTCCAACCACATAGAATGGTCCCTGTCAGGATTCAGAGTTTCCTGCTGAACACTTTCGGCACTTTCGAACAGTAGAGCCATACTCTGTCTCCAACACGGTGTGGTGGCTCTGCTGACTTCCTGTCGAATTGTTTGTATGTCCCTTGAGCCATCCTCACATTCTCATGAGAATCTGCAATATCAATATTGCGAGTAACTGTCTTAAGTCCATGAGCGTGAGGTTCCAACATATTGTCAACTGGCCACCTTGGTTCCCTACCAAACACCATCACATATGGAGAGAAGCCTGTTGAGCCAACTGCAGGTCTCATCCTGTAGCCAGCTAGTATGCTAGGCAACAGCTTTAGTCATTTCACCGTATCTCCATTAATCCTGAGTGTTTGACCAATGATACTATTCATGTGCTCAGCTATTTGTTTCCGGATGGAAAGGGCTAGTTTTCAATCTGCCGATGTCCAGGAATCTGCATACCTCATTCAACAGTTTGGAGGTAAACTCCTTGCCTCTGTCAGTGAGTATACTCTGGGGCATGAGTATCTGCTTATGACTCTTGCTACTTCAAATGACTCCATGCTTTTCAATGGAAAGCATTTAGGATATTTTGAAGCTGCATTTATAAATATTGTAAAATAAAGGACTTGAAGAACACACCAGTCTTATTGATTACTAGCTTAGCTACAACATCCCCACTTCTTTGACTGGCATTCTAGAAGCTGAGGAGATGAAGAATGAGGACAAAGGTTTTGGATACACCGCTTCTTTATTCTGTATAGGCGACGTTTCGGCATATATTCTAATGTCGTTGTTCACCACTTGATTGACAACGACATTAGAATCTATGTCGAAACGTCGCCTATACAGAATAAGAAGTTGTAGATCAATAAAGATTATCTTCACTCTACATCATCCCGAGACCAGAAGGGTGGTCAGACAGAGTGCCTAGGGGGAAGGGTATAGGGGGAAGGGTATAACACCCGCACACCCTCAGGTAACATAAGAATCCAGACACGTCATCATGTCGGAACCCACTCAAGTCCTGTCCGACAACACCTGGTGTCAAAGGAGGCTACAAGAGGCTACAGACATCAGGAGATTCCAACCAGCAGTGAACCGTGATAGGTAAAAATACCTGCCTGGCGCTAAGGGCTTCGAATTCTTATGTAATCATGCCTGGATTAATTCCTGGCTTCTATTTCTGTTTTAACTAATCACTGGCATATCTAATTATAATCACTGTCAAAACTAATCAGCGCCAAAAGGCTTCCTTTGTCAGTGCCACCATTGTTATCTTGTCACTGTTGGTGTTTCACATGTACATATAGTGCTATATCTGCCTCCTAGTTTTAACAAAAATAAACTAAATATTCTACTAAATGGCACTAAAAAACCCTAAAAATACCATAAATCTACAAATATTGACAGAGCGATAACCAAATTACAATTAAACAGGTAACACAAAATGAAATTCCCATCTGCACAAAATAAAAGAAAAACACCAAACAGACAAATGCACTCACACCGCAACGATCCGTCCGACACTGCATTCACCACAACAACACAGATAATTCACTGGACACAAACACCCCTTAGCACAGTAAATAACACTCAACCTTGCCAAGCCTTAGGCCTCATAGGTGGCATATAATCCCACATAACCAACCAGTGCTAACTTAAAAAAACAATTAGAAAAACAAGACATAACAAGAAACAAAACAAGTCGACCCCAACCAAACCATCCCGTAGTTCATGGACATGTAATTATTGTACACTGCAGTACATGTTATACATATATCTACACATTCACAAATATAGAGGAATTTTCAAGGTGGAGAGATGTGATCAGAAATGAGAATTTAAGGGGATTCCCCTGGTTTTCAACTCGTCACTCCGTGCTGGTCCGAAACCCAGTTTGTTGTAGGGCTGGTTACAACCATCACTTGCGGTCCGCTAAAAGGATAACAAGGAGAGTGACCTCTCTTTGGAAGAAAATACCTTTCTAAAAATAGTTCAGGTGTTTCCCAGTATTTAACGGTATCTGATTGGTTGAGCGCGTGTCTCGCGATACATTGTAAACACGCGCCGGGTTCAGTAGATCTACACAATCAGCTGACATGTGTGGTGCCATGAGACTGGTTCAAAAGAAGGACCGACCGGGTGGTGTTTATATTTACTCAGGTTATTCAACCACGTAGGATCACCTCCATAAAGGTAAACGTTTTGGTAAAGTTTCATTACAGTGTTAACATTAGATTTTGCATTGTTAGACTATTTCCGTACACTGTTGCAGTCCATCGCAGGATAAAGTCTTTAAGCAGTGGAACACCAGTCCCAGTCCTCCGGTATCTCTGACGTTACAGGACATGTATAACAGTGTAGGTGTCACAATGTAGTGCTCTTGCAACGGCTAGGCAATCGAGACTTAATTATAGGCAGGTTGAAGGGTACAGATTTTTCTAGCAAATTACACCTAGCTCTCCTAATTTAGACATTGAAAATGGAATTTACCCAAGAATTGTGTTGAAATTGTTCTTGAAAGTCATGATTTTTGCATAATTTTAATAACAATATCTATGAGATTCTATCAACAGTGTCTTGAGAGTCCTATCTGTTCCATGAATGTGACCCTGTTTTACTGAACAGATAGGACTCAACTGTTGATTGTTGATGTAAAACAGGGGTCACATTCATGGAACAGATAGGACTCAACTGTTGATTGTTGATGTAAAACAGGGCTCACATTCATGGAACAGATAGGACTCAAGACACTGTTGATTGTTGATGTAAAACAGGGGTCACATTCATGGAACAGATAGGACTCAAGACACTGTTGACTCTGCCAATCAGTCTGTCCACGACTTATGTTCCATAAATGTGACCACTGTTTTACCGACCTTCTGTGAATGTGATAATTTTGCACATTATATGCAATTTCATAGATTTTACATCAACAATCAACAGTGTCTTGAGTCCTATCTGTTCCATGAATGTGACCCCTGTTTTACATCAGCACTACCCTACATTAAGTCCCATGTAGTCAAACACTGTTATGTTGAGTGTGAAACGACCTACATAAATACGGTGAGTTATTTCAGTTTCGTCTGAAATCTCACAGGGCACACATCTACCGATTAACATGGATAACAAGAAACATAGCTGACCAATGAAAGAAATGACCAACTTTACTGTTAGTGATTACTATTTGCAATAGTTACATAGATCTTTATTGAATCTATGACACCAGAGACCATATAAATCTATTATATGGTCTCTGGCGACACATGATGTACAAAATCTATGTACATGTATGTGTTATTAAAAGTATCATGCATGTGAAAAACAAAACACTTCACACTTACACATCACAAGTTCATATAGAAAGACCACAAAATGAAACAAATTAGGAATCATATCTGAGTGGACCACGGGTCAATGACCTGTCAATTCCCAGCAGAAACATCTGGGTTGTGGCATGTTACTTGAACTTTGGTGGCCAATGAGTCAGGCTGACATCATCTTATCAGACAATTTATGCAAGACGTACATGTTTGGGTGGCAAGTAACATCCAGAAAAACACAACTTGGACACATCTCAGGTTGACAGGGACGTCACGATACAGGTCTTATGATGTGGTGCATACATTGATACAGAAGCAGGTTGTACCCAACTCACAAATGTACAGAATGGATGCAGAAAACCCCAAATACTGCGTCCGGAGATATGCACAAGAACACCGAGAGCATACCTACAGCACATAAAGAGTACATGTAGTCATCTGTGTCGATTATTTCATACATCAGTCATGACCACTGTCCACAGGACCACTGATTCATTCCAGGCCCTGAAGTCATTATCTCAACATACAGTACACTACATCATGTCAGTACTTTACAGGACCCTCATATTACTAGAAAGGACCCATAAATATATTGATAGGGGTCTGCTGGACCCCACGTTTGTAGGTCAAGGTTAGACCCCGATACACAAGCCACGAGAGGATACATATCTTGATACAGAAGCCATGATAGGATACATACCTTGAAACAAAAATCACGATACTGTACATATCTTGATACAGAAGCCATGATAGGGTACATATCTTGATACAGCAGAAGTCATGATAGGATACATATCTTGATACAGAAGTCATGATAGGATACATATCTTGATACAGAAGTCATGATAGGATACATATCTTGATACAGAAGTCACGATAGGATACATATCTTGATACAGAAGTTACGATAGGGTACACATCTTGATACAGAAGTCATGATAGGATACACATCTTGATACAGAAGTCATGATAGGATACATATCTTGATACAGAAGTTACGATAGGATACAGATCTTGATACGGAAGTCATGATAGGATACAGATCTTGATACAGAAGTCACGATTAGGATACATATCTTGATACAGAAGTCATGATAGGATACATATCTTGATACAGAAGTCATACAGAAGTGATAGGATACATTATCTTGATACAGAAGTCATGATAGGATACATATCTTGATACAGAAGTCACGATATACATATCTTGATACAGAAGTCACAATGATACATATCTTGATACATATCATATCTTGATACAGAAGTCAGTCAATAGGATACATATCTTGATACAGAAGTCATGATAGGATACATATCTTGATACAGAAGTCACGATAGGATACATATCTTGATACAGAAGTCACAATAGGATACATATCTTGATACAGAAGTCATGATAGAAGATACATCTTGATACAGAAGTCTTGATACAGAAGTCAATGATAGGATACAATCTTGATACAGAAGTCATGTTTTCAATATTTTTATTCATTTCAAGTGAAGCATATCTTGATACAGAAGTGGATGGATACATATCTTGAACAGAAGTCATTTGATGAAATAGTAGACAAGCATGATAGGATACATTCTTGATACAGAAGTGAAGCATACAGGATGGTACACATAATATTTTATTCATTTCAGTGAAGCATGGATGGCATATGAATATCATTTGATGAAATAGTAGACAAGCATTTCAGACATACAGGATGGCATCTCTAATATCATTTGATGAAATACATGACAGCAAGAAGTGTAGTCCCGAACCCGACACATGTTACATTTGATTGTCGTAAAGTATCATGATACAAAAAGTAGTATAGTGAAATATAGTGTACACATCTTGATACAGAAGCCAGGATAGTATACATATCTTGATACAGAAACCACAATATGATTAATATCTGCATACAGAAACCACATGATGATACGTATCTGTATACAAAACCCACACTATAATTAATATCTGTCTACAAAATCCACACTATAATTCATATTTGAATGCAGAAGCCATGCTATAATTCATGTCTGTATACAAAAGCCACACTATGATTAATAAGTGTATACAGAAGCCACGCTCTAATTCATACCTATATACAGAAGCCATGCTATAATTAATGTCTGTATTCTGAAGCCATGCTACAATTAATGTCTGTATACAGAAGCCATGCTATAATTTATATCTGTATACAGAAGCCACACTATGATGCATATCTGTATACAGAAGCCACACTATGATGCATATCTGTATACAGAAGCCAGATGATAATTCATATCGGTATACAGAAGCCACTCTACAATTCATGTCTGTATACAGAAGCCAAGCTATAATTCATGTCTGTATACAAAATCCACACTATGATTAATAAGTGTATACAGAAGCCACGCTCTAATTCATACCTATATACATGAGCCATGCTGTAATTAATGTCTGTATTCTGAAGCCATGCTACAATTAATGTCTGTATACAGAAGCCATGCTATAATTCATATCTGTAGACACAAGCCACACTATGATGCATATCTGTATACAGAAGACACACTATGATGCATATCTGTATACAGAAGCCAGATGATAATTCATATCTGTATACAGAAGCCACTCTACAATTCATGTCTGTATTCTGAAGCCACGCTATAATTCATATCTGTAGACACAAGCCACACTATAATTAATGTCTGTATACAGAAGCCATGCATTCATCTGACGCTCCCACCTGCGCTCCTCTGACACACCCACCTGCATTCATCTGACACACCCACCTGCATTCATCTGACACACCCACCCTGCACTCATCAGCCGCTCCCACCTGCATTCATCTGACACACCCACCTGCATTCATCTGACGCTCCCACCTGCACTCCTCTGACACACCCACCTGCATTCATCTGACACACCCACCTGCATTCATCTGACACACCCACCCTGCACTCATCAGCCACTCCCACCTGCATTCATCTGACACACCCACCTGCATTCATCTGACACTCCCACCTGCACTCCTCTGACGCTCCCACCTGCATTCATCTGGTACTCCCAACTGCTCTCCTCTGACACACCAACCTGCATTCATCTGACACACCCACCTGCATTCATCTGACACACCCACCCTGCACTCATCAGCCACTCCCACCTGCATTCATCTGACACACCCACCTGCATTCATCTGACGCTCCCACCTGCATTCATCTGACACACCCACCTGCATTCATCTGACACTCCCACCTGCATTCATCTGACGCTCCCACCTGCACTCCTCTGACACTCCCACCTGCACTCCTCTGACACACCCACCTGAATTCATCTGACACACCCACCTGCATTCATCTGACACACCCACCTGCATTCATCTGACACACCCACCTGCATTCTTCTGACACACCCACCTGCATTCACCTGACGCTCCCACCTGCATTCATCTGACAAACCCACCTGCACTCATCTGACGCTCCCACCTGCACTCCTCTGACACACCCACCTGCATTCATCTGACACACCCACCTGCATTCATCTGACACACCCACCCTGCACTCATAAGCCACTCCCACCTGCATTCATCTGACACACCCACCTGCATTCATCTGACACTCCCACCTGCACTCCTCTGACACACCCAGCTGCATTCATCTGACACACCCACCTGCATTCATCTGACTCTCCCACCTGCGCTCCTCTGACACTCCCACCTGCATTCATCTGGCACTCCCACCTGCTCTCCTCTGACACACCAGCCTGCATTCATCTGACGGTCCCACCTGCATTCATCTGACACACCCACCTGCATTCATCTGACACTCCCACCTGCATTCATCTGACGCTCCCACCTGCACTCCTCTGACACACCCACCTGCATTCATCTGACACACCCACCTGCATTCATCTTACGCTCCCACCTGCATTCATCTGACACACCCACCTGCATTCCTCTGACGCTCCCACCTGCATTCATCTGACACTCCCACCTGCACTCCTCTGACACTCCCACCTGCACTCCTCTGACACACCCACCTGCATTCATCTGACACACCCACCTGCACTCATCTGGACACACCCACCTGCACTCCTCCTCTGACACACCCACCTGCATTCATCTGGGACACACCCACCTGCATTCATCTGACGCCCCACCTGCATTCATCTGACAAACCCACCTGCACTTCATCTGACGCCTCCCACCTGCACTCCTCTGACACTCCCACCTGCACTCTCTGACACACCCACCTGCATTCATCTGACACACCCACCTGCATTCCTCTGACACACCAACCTTGCATTCATCTGACATACAACCCACCTGCATTCATCTGGACACACCTGTACCCTTCTGCACTCATCAGCACCACCTTGCATTCATTCATCTGACACACCCACTCAGACATTCATCTTGACTTCCCACCTGCATCATTCATCTGACACACCCACCTTGCATTCATCTGACGCCCCCACCTGCATTCATCTGACGCCCCCACCTGCATTCATCTGACACTCCCACCTGCACTCCTCTGACACACCCACCTGGAATTCATCTGACACACCCATCTGCACTCATCTGACACACCCACCTGCACTCCTCTCTTGACACACCCACCTGCATTCTTCTGACACACCCACCTGCATTCATCTGACGCCTCCCACCTGCATTCATCTGACAAACCCACCTGCACTCATCTGACGCTTCCCACCTGCACTCCTCTGACACACCCACCTGCATTCATCTGACACACCCACCTGCATTCATCTGACACACCAAGACCCTGCACTCATAAGCCACTTCCCACCTGCATTCATCTGACACACCCACCTTGCATTCATCTGACACTCCCACCTGCACTCCTTTCTTGACACACCCAGCTGCATTCATCTGACACACCCACCTGCATTCATCTGACTCTCCCACCATGCTCCTCTGACACTCCCACCTGCATTCATCAGCCACTCCCACCTGCATTCATCTGACACACCCACCTGCATTCATCTGACACTCCCACCTGCACTCATTCTCTGACACACCCACCTGCATTCATCTGACACTCCCACCTGCATTCATATGACGATTCCCACCTGCACTCCTCTGACACACCCACCTGCATTCATCTGACACACCCACCTGCATTCATCTTACGCTCCCACCTGCATTCATCTGACACACCCACCTGCATTCCTCTGACGCTCCCACCTGCATTCATCTGACACTCCCACCTGCACTCCTCTGACACTCCCACCTGCACTCCTCTGACACACCCACCTGCATTCATCTGACACACCCACCTGCACTCATCTGACACACCCACCTGCACTCCTCTGACACACCCACCTGCATTCATCTGACACACCCACCTGCATTCATCTGACGCTCCCACCTGCATTCATCTGACAAACCCACCTGCACTCATCTGACGCTCCCACCTGCCCTCCTCTGACTCTCCCACCTGCACTCCTCTGACACACCCACCTGCATTCATCTGACACACCCACCTGCACTCCTCTGACACACCCACCTGCATTCATCTGACACACCCACCTGCATTCATCTGACACACCCACCTGCATTCACTGTACCGAAATCGATTATGTACAGAAAGACCCTTGATATTGATGTTGACAAATTCCACAGTGATGTGAAAAAGAATCTGGAGTGTAGACCAATCCTTTGTGTAAGACCCAGATGTGAAGGTAGTGCTGCCAAGAGAGCTGCAACGTACCTCGAAGCAGTGAGTGAAGTTCTGGACTTACATGCTCCTGTAAGAACTGCTAATATCATCATGTGACCTAAATCAGCCTGGATTAACAAGGACACTTTGAAAGCAAAGCATGAACGACAAGCTGAGAGGACCTGGCGGAATACCAAACTTGTGGTCCACAGACAAATCTTCCTACATGGTCGCAATAATGTTAACGTACTCATCGGGAAATCCAATCTTTGCCATGTTAAGGAGAACAGACACAATACCAAACAGCTATTCTTGATCCTGAAGAAGTTAACAGAAGTCAAGGAAGCAAAGTTCAGAATTGGATGTCATCAAACTTCCTTAAACTCAATAGTGACAAAACTGAATTCATGATGATCGTTACCTCCCACCAACTCAACAAAATTGAAAGCCACACTCTTTCAGTTGGATCATCTTCCTTAGCACCTCCACATCTGTCAGGAACCTGGGTGTTCAAATGGACAGGTGTATATCTAGCAACACCCAGGCCCTAAAGACAGCCAGGACCACAAACTTCAAACTTTGGATGTTGGATGTTGATACCAGCAAAACTCTTGTGCATGCATGTGTCACTTCCCATCTGGATTACTGCAACTCTCTCCTGTCAGGATCTGGAGCCATCACACATCTACAAAGAGTCCAGAATAAAACAGCCAGCGTCATTACCCGTATCAGACAGCAGGAGCATATCACACCTATCCTGAAGCAGGTTCACTGGCTCCAAATCCAGAAACATGTATCCTTCAAAATTCTGACCCTGACCTACTCTGCTCTTCACTGTGAGACAGCCCCGAACTCCTCACTCGTTATTTGGGGTGGGGTAGCCTAGTGGTTAAAGCGGTGGGAAGACCCGGGTTCGATTCCGTACATGGGTACAATGTGTGAAGTCCATTTCTGGTGTCCCCTGCCATGATATTGCTGGAATATTGCTAAAAGCAGTGTAAAACCATACTCACTCACTCATGTTTGTATTTATGTAAAGCACCGTGGATATCAGGTGCTATAGAAATGCATCATTATTGTTATTATAGTCACAACTGATGCTAACATCTATGTGATGTTTCCCGTCAGAACCGACTCCCAGCAGCGTAAGCAGAGACAAACGGTACCATGCCTTCCAGGTATGAGAACACGATGCGGCGGAACCGAGGCGGTCCGTACAAGACTGCCCCTGCCACGGACTTGACAAGATGGCGTCTAACAAATGTGGTGGGCCGACAAACATGGGATTACATTGAAGATGGAGAAGTGCCAGAGCGAGAACAGACGCTTCTTGAGAAACACTCTCTTGGACTGGACACGGTAATATGTTATGATAATTCTATGAAATCCAGCACCAACCATGCAGGGAATCTGGGATGATTAGGTCTCCAACAACCTCTGCTGGTCCATACCTTCTGGATTCTTGGTCAGAATAGGTCCCCTACAACCTCTGCTGATTCTGGGATAGAATAGGTCCCCTACAATCCACACCTCTGGCTGGTCCCCTACAACCTCTGCTGGTCCACATGCTGGGGATTCTGGGATAGAATAGGTCCCCTACAACCTCTGCTGATCCACACCTTGTGGATTCTGGCTTAGAATAGGTCCCCTACAACCTCTGCTGGTCCACACTCTGGATTCTGGGTTAGAATAGGTCCCCTACAACCTCTGCTGGTCCACACCTTGTGGATTCTAGGTTAGAATAGGTCCCCTACAACCTCTGCTGGTCCACACCTGCTGGAGATTCTATGTTAGAATAGGTCCCCTACAACCTCTGCTGGTCCACACCTTGTCGATTCTGGGTTAGAATAGGTCCCCTACAACCTCTGCTGGTCCACACCTTGTGGATTCTTGGTTAGAATAGGTCCCCTACAACCTCTGCTGGTCCACACCTTGTTGATTCTAGGTTAGAATAGGTCCCCTACAACCTCTGCTGGTCCACACCTTGTGGATTCTAGGTTAGAATAGGTCCCCTACAACCTCTGCTGGTCCACACCTTGGGGATTCTTGGTTAGAATAGGTACCCTACAACCTCTGCTGGTCCACACCTTGTTGATTCTAGGTTAGAATAGGTACCCTACAACCTCTGCTGGTCCACACCTTGTTGATTCTAGGTTAGAATAGGTCCCCTACAACCTCTGCTGGTCCACATGCTGGGATTCTAGGTTAGAATAGGTCCCCTACAACCTCTGCTGGTCCACACCTTGTTGATTCTAGGTTAGAATAGGTCCCCTACAACCTCTGGTTAGAATAGGTCCCCTACAACCTCTGCTGGTCCACACTGGTCCACACTTGTAGATTCTAGGTTAGAATAGGTCCCCTACAACCTCTGCTGGTCCACACCTTGTGGATTCTAGGTTAGAATAGGTACCCTACAACCTCTGCTGGTCCACATGCTGGGGATTCTAGGTTAGAATAGGTCCCTTAAAACCTCTGCTGGTCCACACCTTGTTGATTCTAGGTTAGAATAGGTACCCTACAACCTCTGCTGGTCCACATGCTGGGGATTCTAGGTTAGAATAGGTCCCCTACAACCTCTGCTGTTCCACACCTTGTGGATTCTAGGTTAGAATAGGTCCCCTACAACCTCTGCTGGTCCACACCTTGTGGATTCTAGGGTTTAGAATAGGTACCCTACAACCTCTGCTGGTCCACACCTTGTGGATTCTAGGTTAGAATAGGTACCCTACAACCTCTGCTGGTCCACACCTTGTGGATTCTAGGTTAGAATAGGTACCCTACAACCTCTGCTGGTCCACACCTTGTGGATTCTAGGTTAGAATAGGTCCCCTACAAATAGGTACTCTGCTGGTCCACACCTTGGGATTCTAGGTTAGAATATGTCTCCTTACAACCTCTGCTGGTCCACACCTTGTGGATTCTAGGGTAGAATATGTCCCCTACAACCTCTGCTGATCCACACCCTTGTGGATTCTAGGTTAGAATAGGTCTCCTACAACCTCTGCTGGTCCACACCTTGTGGATTCTAGGTTAGAATAGGTATCCTTACAACCTCTGCTGGTCCACACCTTGTGGATTCTGGGTTAGAATAGGTCCCCTACAACCTCTGCTGATCCACACCTTGTGGATTCTAGGTTAGAATAGGTCCCCTACAACCTCTGCTGGTCCACATGCTGGGGATTCTAGGTTAGAATAGGTCCCCTACAACCTCTGCTGGTCCACACCTTGTGGATTCTGGGTTAGAATAGGTCCCCTACAACCTCTGCTGGTCCACACCTTGTGGGATTCTAGGTTAGAATAGGTCCCCTACAACCTCTGCTGGTCCACACCTTTGGGATTCTAGGTTAGAATAGGTCCCCTTACAACCTCTGCTGGTCCACACCTTGTGGATTCTAGGTTAGAATAGGTCCCTACAACCTCTGCTGGTCCACACATGCTGGGGATTCTAGGTTAGAATAGGTCCCTTAAAACCTCTGCTGGTCCACACCTTGGGGATTCTAGGTTAGAATAGGTCCCCTAAAACCTCTGCTGGTCCACACCTTGTGGATTCTAGGTTAGAATAGGTCCCCTACAACCTCTGCTGGTCCACACCTTGTGGATTCTAGGTTAGAATAGGTCCCCTACAACCTCTGCTGGTCCACACCTTGTGGATTCTAGGTTAGAATAGGTCCCCTACAACCTCTGCTGGTCCACACCTTGTGGATTCTAGGTTAGAATAGGTCCCCTACAACCTCTGCTGGTCCACACCTTGTGTTGATTCTAGGTTAGAATAGGTCCCCTACAACCTCTGCTGGTCCACACCTTGTGGATTCTAGGTTAGAATAGGTCCCCTACAACCTCTGCTGGTCCACACCTTGTGGATTCTAGGTTAGAATAGGTCCCCTACAACCTCTGCTGGTCCACACCTTGGGGATTCTAGGTTAGAATAGGTCCCTTACAACCTCTGCTGGTCCACACCTTGTGGATTCTGGGTTAGAATAGGTCCCCTACAACCTCTGCTGGTCCACATGCTGTGGAATCTAGGTTAGCATAGGTCCCCTACAACCTCTGCTGATCCACACCTTGTTGATTCTGGGTTAGAATAAGTACCCTACAACCTCTGCTGGTCCACATGCTGGGGATTCTAGGTTAGAATAGGTCCCTTAAAAACCTCTGCTGTTCCACACCTTGTTGATTCTGGGTTAGAATAGGTCCCCTACAACCTCTGCTGGTCAACACCTTGTGGATTCTAGGTTAGAATATGTCTCCTTACAACCTCTGCTGGTCCACACCTTGTGAATTCAGGGTGGAGAATATGTCCCCTACAATCTCTTCTGATCCACACCTTGTGGATTCTAGGTTAGAATAGGTCTCTTACAACCTCTGCTGGTCCACATGCTTGGGATTCTAGTATAGAATATGTGTCCTTACACAACCTCTGCTGGTCCACACCTTGTGGATTCTGGGTGTAGAATATGTCCCCTACAATCTCTGCTGATCCACACCTTGTGGGTTCCAGGTTAGAATAGGTCCCCTACAACCTCTACTGGTCCACATGCTGGGGATTCTGGGGTTAGAATAGGTCCCTTACAACCTCTGCTGGTCCACACCTTGTGGATTCTGGGTGTAGAATAGGTCCCCTACAATCTCTGCTGATCCACACCTTGTGCATTCTAGGTTAGAATAGGTCCCCTACAACCTCTGCTGGTCCACACGCTTGGGATTCTAGGTATAGAATATGTCCCCTACAACCTCTGCTGGTCCACACCTTGTGGATTCTAGGTTGGAATAGGTCCCTTACAACCTCTGCTGGTCCACACCTTGGGGATTCTAGGTTAGAATAGGTCCCTTAAAACCTCTGCTGTTCCACACCTTGTGGATTCTAGGTTAGAATAGGTCCCTTAAAACCTCTGCTGTTCCACACCTTGTGGATTCTTGGTTAGAATAGGTCCCCTACAACCTCTGCTGGTCCACACCTTGTGGATTCTAGGTTAGAATAGGTACCCTACAACCTCTGCTGCTCCACACCTTGGGGATTCTAGGTTAGAATAGGTCCCCTACAACCTCTTCTGGTCCACACCTTGTGGATTCTAGGTTAGAATAGGTACCCTACAACCTCTGCTGGTCCACACCTTGTGGATTCTAGGTTAGAATAGGTACCCTACAACCTCTGCTGGTCCACATGCTGGGGATTCTAGGTTAGAATAGGTCCCCTACAACCTCTGCTGGTCCACACCTTGTTGATTCTGGGTTAGAATAGGTCCCCTACAACCTCTGCTGGTCCACACCTTGTGGATTCTTGGTTAGAATAGGTCCCCTACAACCTCTGCTGGTCCACACCTTGTGGATTCTAGGTTAGAATAGGTCCCCTACAACCTCTGCTGGTCCACACCTTGTGGGGATTCTAGGTTAGAATAGGTCACCCTACAACCTCTGCTGGTCCACACCTTGTGGATTCTAGGTTAGAATAGGTACCCTACAACCTCTGCTGGTCCACACCTTGTGGATTCTAGGTTAGAATAGGTACCCTACCCTCTTGCTGGTCCTCATGCTGGGGATTCTAGGTTAGAATAGGTCCCTGCCTCTGCTGTTCCACACCTTGTGGATTCTAGGTTAGAATAGGTCCCCTACAACCTCTGCTGCTGGTCACACCTTGTGGATTCTAGGTTAGAATAGGTCCCTTAAAACCCTCTGCTGGTTCCACACCTTGTTGATTCTAGGTTAGAATAGGTCCCTTACAACCTCTGCTGGTCCACACCTTGTGGATTCTAGGTTAGAATAGGTCCCCTACAACCTCTGCTGGTCCACACCTTGTGGATTCTAGGTTAGAATAGGTCCCCTACAACCTCTGCTGGTCCACACCTTGTGGATTCTAGGTTAGAATAGGTCCCCTACAACCTCTGCTGGTCCACACCTTGTGGATTCTAGGTTAGAATAGGTCCCCTACAACCTCTGCTGGTCCACACCTTGTGGATTCTAGGTTAGAATAGGTCCCCTACAACCTCTGCTGGTCCACACCTTGTGGATTCTAGGTTAGAATAGGTCCCCTACAACCTCTGCAGGTCCACACCTTGTGGATTCTAGGTTAGAATAGGTCCCCTACAACCTCTGCTGGTCCACACCTTGGGGGATTCTAGGTTAGAATAGGTCCCCTACAACCTGTGCTGGTCCACACTGTGGATTCTAGGTTAGAATAGGTCCCCTACAACCTCTGCTGGTCCACACCTTGTGGATTCTAGGTTAGAATAGGTCCCCTACAACCTCTGCTGGTCCACACCTTGTTGATTCTGGGTTAGAATAGGTCCCCTACAACCTCTGCTGGTCCACACTGGGGATTCTAGGTTAGAATAGGTCCCTTACAACCTCTGCTGGTCCACACC